CCCCAAAACCCCAAAACCCCAAAACCCCAAAACCCCAAAACCCCAGCATCTCAGCCAGGCATTGGAATATATTTAATTAATGGAAGCCTTCCAAAATATGAAATCTATATTAGAGAATCCTTTAAATTCAGTTCAACCAGAGTTAAACCTAAGCCTAGAAGGAAACTTAGGTTTGGACGACCTAGTGCCATGCTACATGCATGAGCTACCATATCAGAGAGAATGCCAACAAATCTGTGAAAAAGAAAGAAATTCTAGAGCCATTGTAACACCACGAGAAGAAAACCTGGACAATATTTACGTTCAAGTCAAAGGTTCGAAGGAAGATTACGGTATTGAGTTTAGTGGGTTCCAAGAAGACATCGAAATTAATATCAGCCCTGCTTGGCTACAGGATCAGATCAAACCATTAAGGTGAAATAAGCCCTCTACTTTGAACACTGAAGACTCACAAAACCAATTAACTGCCATCACTCAGATGAATCAGGAAGAAGATCTGATTACTAAGCTACAAAGGGATGACAAGAAAGTTCTGACCGGTTCTAATGAATCTTCTGACATTCAGATGGGTGATGAAAGCAACGAGAACGCTGCAATTAAGCAAAAAGTTAAAGTATCTTTGACCGAACAAAGCAAAATGGACCAATCCTTAGAAAATCCAAAAGTTGTTAACTCTTCTTCTAAAGCCTCTACTCTCAAAGGTGAAGACCCTTGTGACCAAAAGAAGACCTCTGATGATTGATCAAACGATGCTGAAGATCCAGCCAAGAGTGAGCAACCAAAGGCATTATTATCTAAGAAGAAACTAAGATCACAGAAAAAGATTGACATTTCAGTTAGGAAAGAGATAACACAAAGACAAATGGGCAAACCTACTAGAAAAAGGACCAAGCTGAAGTCCTCTGGAGAGAGCTCCTCCTCAGAACCAATGGATTTGGCTAAAAGAAGAGATGTTGTGAATAAAACGATACTTAGAGTAGTTAGAAGATATTTCACATCAAAATTTAAGGCTACTATTGACATGAAGTATGGAAACCCATCCGATACTCAAGATAGGTAAGTTCGTTCAACCGATAAACTCATTTTTCATTAGCTGCTCTTCTTCGTATTTAATATAATAGCAAAATCCAAATTCTGCGACCCCATAGGTTTTATTTAGAGGGAAATAAAATATGTTTTGCGTAAAATCTTAGCGGAATCCTGTGTTTTCTAAATAACCTACCAACATTTTACGATTCGAGAATAAAGTTCCTTAACCAAAGTTTTATTTATGAATTTTATTTAGATACTTCCAAAATATTACGACATTTGCGAAGACTTTCTTTGGCTCTGATGACCAGGTGGACCTCAAAGATATCTCCTTTTACTTGGCTAGCATTATTGAGCCAAAGTACATGAAAGAAGAAGATATTTTGGACTGAGGGTATACTAAAGAAGATTTCCTGGTATATCACTACTGCCTATATCGATATTCTCACACAAGGCTAGTAAATTTATTTGAGTACCAATCTATCAGATTCCTCTACGAGCATTTTTATAACCAAGGAAGAGACGAAGTCCTCATGAATGAGCCTGCCATGGTCAAGAATAAAGATCTCTACTCCCAAGTTATGCTCGAGTTCAGGAACCCTCAGCATTTCTTAAAGCCCCTTACTTAATGCTTTAATAACGTCGTAAGATTTTTCTAACTAAAGTTGTTCTGTTGGGAGGCAATTTTGAAGCTATTTTTATACACGATTTGCTTACTCTTTATTGGTTAGCAAGTACTCATATTAATGGTATCCTAGTTTTCAACCTCTCATTATAATATTGGGGTTTTGGGGTTTTGGGGTTTTGGGGTTTTGGGG